GGGGGGGGGGGCCGGCCCCCCCCCCCCCGCCGGGCCCGCAGCGCCAGCCGCTCCAGGTAGCGCACCTCGGCGTCGCGGGCCGACTCGTCCTCGAAGCGGACGCGGGACGGGGAGGGTCCCCGGGGCCGTCTTTGCTGCCCGCAGCTCGACTCCCCGCTCGACGAGTCGCTCAGGCTCCCGCCGTCCCGCGGGGCAATGCTCGGCCTCCCGCTGGGCTCCCTGGCACGGGGACAGACAGACGGGTGAGCTGCAAGGGCTGCCCGGTTCCCTTAGGTGGGAGGTGGAAAACCCCGCACAGGAGATGCGGGATGGGCAGGAGGGAAGGCCACCGCTCCGGCCCTCTGCCCGGGCTGCCCAAAGCTGGAACAGCGAGAGGCTGCGGCAATGCCCTGCTGCCACGGCCCCACCTCCATCACCGAGGTGCGTGGTTAATCAGTCTGGGAACACCGAATTGCACGTGACCTGGCGCACATGGCGAGCCATGGCTTTGGTGCAGCCTTCCAGCAGCAAGCCTCCTCCGGGGAGGCACTCCCCATCTGCTGGCAAACACAATCCTCCCAGCCAGCCAGGAGCACACCGTTAATGCCCCCACATTATCATAAAACACAATTAAACACCCCTCAAATATCATGCCGCAAAGAATTCACACGTGCCCGGGCAGGGCGATGCTCCTGTGAGCAGAGGGTTGCTCACGCAAGGCTACAAGGCTGCACACAGCAGGTCAGACCCTGGCTCTGCACACATGGGGGCATGCTCTGCACGTGTGCCTGCGTGCATGTGCACGCTCTGCACACACGCACGTACGCCTTGCACACACACTTCCATGCTCTGCACATGCACCAAATCCAGATCCCCCCCGCAGAGCACCGAGGCGGTGGCAGGACGCGGCCCGCGGGGCTGGCACTGACCTGGGGCGCGGGGCAGCGGCAGCGGGGAGGAGGAGGATGTCGTGGCTGGCGCGCAGGGGGTTCGTCCGAGCCTTCATGCGGGCGCGCTGCAGCAGCTGCTTGGCTTGCTCGTGCCGCGGGCTCAGCTCGAGCTCCTGCCCAGGGACAAAGGCCCTGCAGCCCCGCAGCGGGGAGGGGGATTAGGAAAAAATAACAGGGATTAGACGTGGTTTAACAGTGACGAGGAGGCTGCTGTGCCCAGAGAAAGTGGGACCGAGCCTCTGTTCATAGGCGAGCAGGCTGCTGTGCCGGGGGCAGCCGGGCCAGAGCCCCCGTGCCCCCCGGTGCCAGGTGGGAGGAGGGAGGTTGTACCCTGCACCGGTGATGCTCTGGGGGGAGGCTCAGCACCCACACAGCTCAGGGAGCGGCTCAGCACTTTGTACTACAGGCATCCCGGAGGTGGATGGGGAAACTGAGGCAGGCACTGCCTCCAATCCCCACCAGTGTAAATCCCGCAGCGATGTGAACGCAGGTAGGTTTGGGATGACCCCCCGAGCCGGCTGCCTCGCTGCCTTCCCTTCCTTGCAGGGGTTCTTCCCCCGCACCCCCCAGCCCCGCTGGCTGCAGGGTGGGGGATCTGTCAGCTACGGGAGGGCATGGCCCTGCTCCAGCGCTGCCTTCCCTGTTGGCCATGGCCCCAATCCCCCTGATTAAAATAATCAGCTCAGGCAGTCACTTCAGGAAGCCTGGCCTTAACCTCTTCGTGGCAGGAGGGTGGGCGCACGCCAGGCCCCTGTGCAGCACCATGGGGGGCCCAGGCTTCCCCCCAGGTTTTGGCTGCCCCTGCTCATGGGAGCGCAGCACCCCCGGCTCTGCCTTGCACCCTGCCGTCACCGATCAATGCCAGCTGCCGGAGCAGAGCAGAACCAGTAACCACAATACAGGGGGGTCTTCCCCATTCACTGGCTTCCCCCTGCAGCCCCCGCGTCCCCAGCCCTACTCCCCAGCCCGCACGCCGCCACCCAGCTCACCTGCCCGTCCCGCCTCTGTATTTTTAGTCTGTACCTCTAAGGTTTATCATTAGTCCAACAAGATTACACACGCCTGCCACCTCGATCCTCTTAAGCACCTGGAGCGAATTTCTATCCCATCCTCTTCCCCAGCTCCCTTCCCGCCCTGGGGTCCTGGCGGGGACCCCCCGTGCCCAAACACCACATGGACACCTGGCTCGGCCCGACCCTCCTGCCCTGCTCTCACCGAAGCCTCGCCAGAGCCCCTCCACGCTCCCCCCGCCAGCTGCCCCGCTGGGGGGCTGCCCCACAGCCCTCCCCCGCAGCCCTGCCGAGCTTCAGTGCCGCTTTGCGGGGTGCATTTAAAAAACAAGACTGGGGAGGGGGAAAGAGGGAAGTGTCCGTCTCTGCCACGCTGGGACTGACCTACCTGCAGCCCTCGGCGTCCTGCAGCGAGACCCCCGAGTCCCAGTCCCCGTCACTCGCTGGCACCTCTGAAACGCAGGACAGGGAAAGGCATCAGCCTGGCTGGACTGTGGCCCCCAACCCAGTCCCCCCTCGATAGCACCCCCTGTACCCCCAGCCCCATGGCTCAGCCCATCCTAACACACACCCTTTTTGGGGCTAATTCCCTACAGGGCATCCCAGCTGCTCGGCTCCAGAGAGACCCCAGAGGAGCAGGACGTGGGGTAACACCACCCGGCATGGGGTGCGCCCGTGGGGATGGGGACCGCGGGGTCGTTAGGGAAGATGCTTTTGAAGGAGAAATTAATTCCCTTTTCTGGTGGCAGCTTGCAAAGGGAAGATGATGCCCGCAGACCTCAAGTGCCCCAGAAAGTGGGTTTCTTGCTCTTGCTTTTAGCAGCGAAATGCCTCACCAGGACGCCGGAGGGGACCGGCAGCAGCCAGAGCATCCCGGTGAAGCAGTACCCCATTTTGTTTGTGGGCATCTCCTACAGCTGCCGGTGAAGGGGATGCAGCACCCGCGGGGGACGGGGCAGCCTGGGGCATGGACCAGCACAGAGCTGTGCCCACAGTGTGGGAGGCTGGGGGATGGCACCAAGGACCCCCCCTTCATCCCAAAGCTTTTCCTTTCCGCTCCCCCTGGCTCTACCAAAACAGCCGCCACCTGCCCGAAATACGCACCAGCCGCGGCGAGGCCCAGCACCTCCTGCAGCAGCCGCCGGTTCCTCACCACCCGCTCGGCCAGGGAGAGCCTCTCCCAGCCCTCCGCTGTGGTGGGGGATGCAGAGGGACCCCCCTGGTCCCGCGGCGGGGTTCGTGCCTCTTCTTCCAAGGGGGGTGCCTCATGGGGGGAGGCAGAGCCCTGGGACCCGCCGCCCTCGTCCCGGGGGAGCTCGGTGCCTGCCGGCACATCTCCCATGGCTGCCGGCACCCGCCAGAGCCCTGGGGTGCCGGCGTGGGGTGCCAGGGGGCCGCCGGCCACAGGCTCCCCGCCGGGCAGCAGCCCGTCCGTCAGGTAGGTGCGGAGCTGAGTCCGGGGCTCCACTGCTCCCACGTCCATCCCCGGCTTCCCCCGCCGGGACCGGGGCTTCTTGGGCGAGGGGTGCTCGGGGGCGGCCACGGGGGTCCCCGGCCGGCCGGCCCCCCGCTTCTCCTTCAGTGCCTTCACCTTGCTCTCCAGGATGGCGTGGGGGCCGCGGGTGGCCTCGGGGCGCTCCTTTGGGGTGGGAGCTTGGCCGTGCTGCTTGGGAGGCCGCGGCGCCCGCCGCGTCTCAGCAGGAGAGCCCCCCTCCATGTGCCCTGTGGGGAGAAAACCCAGTGGAGGGTGGGTGAGCCCCCACGCTCACCCTCCCCGGCACCCACCTTGGCACCACCTACAAACAGCATCCCCTGTGCCTGCCCAAGGCGCTGCAGACAGTGGCGGCAGCGATGCCGTGCCCGGGGTGGAGGCAAAAGCACACGGTGCCACTGCGGTGCACAGCCTGGCCGGGAAGGGGACAGGGAGGTGGCAGAGCACGAGACCACTCACCCACAGCACTGATGCCGTACCAGCGTCGCTCTGGGCAGGGGGAACGGGGCAGCGGTGGTTCCCCAAAGCAGGAGGACGGGGGCTGAGCAGGAGCGTGGGTGCCCGCCTGTGCTGTTTCGGGTGCCCTGGGGCACCCAGCAAGATGCTCCAGAGGGAACCAGCACTCTCTGAGCCAAATCAGGGCCTCAAAACTCCCCAGAAATCCCGCGTGGATGCAACTCGCCAAAGGTGCCACCAGACAGACCCCAGCCCCCTGCTCCACCCCAGCCCCCAGTGTCACACGTGTCACCCGTCCTGCACCGGCCTCGTGGTCCCGATGGCACCCGGGTGCCGCTGCCCCCCTGCAGCCCACCGGGAGCATCCCGTCCCCGCTGGTACCCCCGGAGGCTGCAGGAGCACCCCCGTGGCCGAGGCTGCAGGAGCACCCACCCCGGGCCCCATCACCCCCGCAGGGCACCACAGCCCCTCGCTGCCCCGGGGCAGAGCGGCGGCAGGCTGGGGCCGCAGGCGGGAGGCGAGGGCTGTCCTTACCCCCGGAGCAGCATCGGGAGAGGACTGGGAAGAAGGAGAAGAAGGCGGAAGAAGGGAAGGAAGCAGGGGAGGGGAAAAAGAAATTTTTTTAAAAAAAAAAGGACAAACCAGCAAATCCCGGCCCCTTCAGCTGAGCCAGAGCTCAGCTGCTTGGCTGGGCTGCAGGGCCGTGGCCGGCCCTGCCTCCCGCCCAGGCCTCCTCCTCCTCCTCCTCCTCCTCCTCCTCTGCGCGCCCCCGAAGCGCACACCCCGCGCTGGGGCACCCCGCCAAATCCTGCACCAACCCCGAAGCTGAGCCGCCTGCCCCCGCGATGGCTGGCGGGTGGCCCCGAAGGGCGACGCCACCGCGGCCATGCACAGCACGAGGGGACGAAGGGGACCCCATGGGAGGGGGCAACCCAACGCCCCGCGTCGGGACGGAGGGAAGCCGGGCCGCCTTGGCCGGCTCTCAGGAATGTCCTTTGTCTGGGCTGCGGGTTTGGGAGGCGAGCAGGGAGCGAAGCCAGCCCACCTCCCCGGGCCTGCCGGAGGGAGCGCCTCACCCCGCGGTGCTGGGTGCCGGGGGGGTCTGGCCCACACCAGCGGCTGGGGCTGGCAGAGGGCAAAAAGGATGGAGAGGGTGGTCCCGCCGGGGTGGGGGTGTTTTCTCTAACAGCCTTCAGACCAGCAGCAGAGCCTGCTGGCTTTAGGCACCCTCCTGTGAGCATCACATGTTTGCAGACGTGGTAAATTTTCCTGCTTTCCCAGAGGCCAAATCCTGCCCGGACCCCATGGCCAGCCCAGGCCAACGGCTCCAGACCGAGCATCCTGAAGCGGGAGGATGGTGGGAGCCAGGGGGAGCTGAGCTTGGTCTATCCCTGTATCATCATCCCCAAATCCAGTGTGCACCCTGCAGAGCCACCCGCACCGAAATCCCGTCCCCCCGCCCTCCTCCCTTGAAACCCCACAAAACTCATCACGCAGGAGGAGGGTCCCGGGTGGGCAACCGCTCACCTGGAGGTGCCGGGGCTGCCGTCCCTGGGGGGCAGGATGGGTGCTGCGGGGGCCATGGGCCTGCCGGCTCCGCTCTGGCTGCCGCTTTAAGCTGCAGCTTTTGATATTCGTGATTGGTTTCATAATCCCAATCAAAAGGAAATCACCAGGATTATGAAATTGTTTTAATCCTCCCGGCTCCAGCCACACTGGCCCCCGCCAGCATGAGCAGCAAGAAATCACTTTTATCTTCTTAAAACATCCCCCACCACCTCAGTGGCCCCAGGGCTCCCATCACAGCCAAAACTGAGCCTGAGGGCTTCCTTCCCCGCAGGGGCTGGCCGTGCTCGCAGAGGGCATGGGGGCTGACTGGCAGCAGGGATGACTCCTTGCCCCATGGGGGACAGAGCGAGCATCTTCCCCCAGCTGCTGCCAAGCAGGAGGGGACCGCTGGCAGGTTTGGGTGGAAGAGCCCAGGGCAGAGAGAGCCTCCTTGCCCCGTACCCCAGCCCTGGTCCGACCTCCCTTGCCATGCCAGGACCCATCCTTACCTCCACGTCGTCCCGGGGATGGGTCCTGGCTCCTCTGCCCGGGAAAATGCGCCTGGGAGATGCCGTCCCCATCAAGCTGGGGGCAAACCGCCCCGTGAGGTGCCAAAGCAAGGGCAGCCAGGCTCCTGCCACCAGCCAGGCAGCGCAGGCAGGGAGCTGCGGGCAGGGAGCGCCCGGGGCGCGGGGATTAAACCTCCGGGAAGCGGCTGGCGTGAGCAGCAACAGGCTTAGAGTGATTTCAAGGCACTGGGCTCTCTTCTGGAAGAAGACTGATTGCAAGAAACGATGAAGGGATTTAAGAGAGCAAAATGAAAGCACAGACCCCAGACAAGCCAGGGCTGGGCTCCTCAGCCTCTGGTCACCCACTGTGCAGGGAAGACGACACCTTGGACCAGAGACAAGCTGGAGAGAGGCAACCAAAGGCTCCCAGAAGGACCAAGAGCCTTTAGCCGGTACAGCACAGTCTTCGCAGGTGGTTTCCTCCAGCATCACTCCCCACGTGTTGGGTTTGAGCCCTTCCCGTGAACCCCACCTGCCCACCGCCAACCCCTTCTCAAACATCTCCCTCCCCCAAGCACCTCCGCCACCTCCCGGGACACAGACGTCCCCCACCTCCGGCCACCAGTGACGGCCCGCAGCTCCCAAGGGCGCAAGAACAGCGTCTTTTTACAGACCGGTGGGAGCAAACGCTTCATGGGTGGATGCGGCACCAGGGGTGGGATGTGGGAAGAAAGACACACAGACCGGGGACAAAAGAGCCATCAGATCATTGGAAAACAAAGAGCTTGTAATAATGAAAAAAAGGACAGATTTCGTAACCAATCACTTTTTCCTTTGAAAAACACAATCACAGTAACTTTGCTTTATACAACCACCTAGAAACTATGAAACAGTATCACATTGTGCATTTTTTTTTTAAACCTACTTATCAAGAAGGGTATTCCACACTTCAAAAATTATATCCATTTGGGGAGGAAAGAGGAGACAGCTAATAGCGCAGTCACAGATACATCATGAGTCCAAGCAAGCAGCAATTCTTTGTCCTCACCTTTTCCACTTAGCCAAAAAAGAAGAGTGGAGAAGGGGATAGCAAAAGAGAAAGGAGGAAAGAAAGAAAGCACCCACAGAGGACTAATCACACTCCATAATTACTTTTGACATCTACAGGGCTTCATAGAAAGATCATTTAGACCAACACAGCGGGGAGGGGAGCGGAAGGCGGCAGCGGGACCCGGGGGGAAACTTTGGCATTTCCACCCTGAGCCCCCTCCAAATGCCGATCCTTCACCAGGAGGACCTATGGGACGGAGAGGTCATCACAAGTTCTACCAGGCTGCCCAATTTCTCCTCTGGAGCAAGGAGTTTGCAATTTGGTTTCTAGAGCTTGAGGGACTGTCAGGCCATGGGAGGTCTTCCCAGGCAGGGTCAGCGCCTCTCGCCCACCGCGGCACGGCTGCGCCGGGGCCAGAGCAGCCTCCGACTCCCACCGGGAACAGGGCTGGGGCATCAGCACCAGTGCACACCCAATATTACCAGCCCTTTCCTCTCCCCTCCCTGCAAAACCTGCGTTTCTCTTGCAGCCAGGATGCTGCAGTGGGGACTGAAGGCCCTGAGGGATGCCGACACACCGGTTTAACCCCACGGTGGTGGCGGGTCGACAGCTCGTCCCAAGGTGCGGTATTTGGGATGGCGTCATGTAAGGGAGGCAAGGTCTGATGAGGTGACAGCCACCGAGCCCAACTGTGACTGCTGCAGAGTTACTGTATGGATTTTCCACTCTTCCCCCAGGAGCCCCAGCCCCTCTTTTCCAAGGAGATAAAACAATCCGATCGCCTTCTGGAATAAAAATGTAAATAAAAAAAAAAAAAAATTGCTTAAGGCAGAAGATAGTCTTCCCCCTGCGAATGCAAAGCAGAACGGTGGAGGAGAGGAGGGAGGACACAGGGCCAGAGACGGCTTTTGTGTTCCAGCGGGAGCCAAGCCATGCCCCAGTCCCAGGGCACGTCCCAGCATGACGGCCCGATGTCGGGGCCACCAACCCCCAAAAAGCCTGGGGCACATGCTCAGTCACAGCAAGCGGCACACAGCAGCGTCCTTGCAGGATAAAGCCAAATTCACTCGGCTGTTTAAAACGCAGGCAAAGCTTGAAGGCTTTGCACTGTCTCCCTTGCTCCTTGGAAGATCCGCAATAAAATCCCCAGGGATTGTTATCTCCTGAACCAGGGCCGTGCTTTCCCTCCCTGCCTCCCACACGGCTGCGGCGGCCAAGCGCCAGAGAGGAAGCGGAACAAGCAGCACAAGAAGGTATTAGGGAAACAAGAGCAGCAGGATCCAACTCTGTTCCACAAGAGATTTTCCCCCCCTCAAGATTTTCATGGCGAAGGCTGCTGCTGGTCATCCCCCCGCGCCCTGCGTACCATTGGCTTCAGACAAACGGCAAAGACACCGACGGAACAAGGAGGGCCGGGAGCAGGGCAGGGAAAGGCGCAGGACAAGCAACAGCCGACTTTGGGAACACGCCTGGATTTGAGAGGTAGGAGCTTATTTGATACGTACAGGCCGCAGCCATGAGCGCTGCAAAAACATTTCTTTTAAAACGTGGTGGCACGGCATCGGTTCCTGTTGATGGAGCAGCTCCCGCTCCTGCTGGCCAAGCCCGCAAAGCCCAAACCTGCCCCACTGCCCCTTCAGGAGCGCTCCCCAAAGCACACGGCATTGCCTTCCCCAGGCGGGGGGACCTGGCGTTTCTGGTCACACAGTCCCAAAGCCATGCAGGGAACTCCAGCTAGCAAATAAACTCTGGATGCTGCAAATCCTAACCCCTGCAACCTGAAAATCCCTGGAAGAGCAGGAAGGATGGAAAGCAGCAGGGAATCAGCATGAAGAAGTAAGTTCAAAGGGAATCTCCAAAAGTGACCAGCCACACTGTGGCATCTCCTCCCCTTAGACAGGACCATCTGCAAGGGTTTCAGCCAGATGAAAGCAGCTTCCACACCATCCTCAGAGCCGCACACACCCACAGCCTCCGACAACCTCTGCACCGAATCACATGGAGAGGGAGAGCTCAACACCCGAACGCCAGCGCTGCTTCGCAGCAGCCAGAGCACAGCCCTGTCTCAGCTTCCACTTTCCATCCAGCTACACTCCAACAACTGAGGCGCTGGATAAAAAAAACCTCAGCTCCTTTTAACTCTGCTCTCCATACTTCTGGATTGTCACCCTGGTGTTCTCCCTCCAGGAGTGTTTCCAAGCACCCATTAGCAAAGCCCACTCGTGAAACGAAGCCGCCCCAGGACTGTCCCCGCTCCCGTTGTGCGGGCTGTTCACAAGGAGCGATGGGGCTATTTTCTCTCACCATCTGCTCTGCTTCATTAGGTCTCCCTTTATTGGCCAGATGTTCTCGTAGATGTGGAGCCATCCCGGCTTTAGCACTCGCTCTCGGGAGGAATCTGCATGCCTGATTTCTCAGAAATCTCTGGGAGGGAGGGAACAGGCAGACCCAGCGCTGGGGAGCTGGGAGCCTTTAAAAGCCATGTGTCTGGGAATTCAGGCTCCTTTCCCCCGAGAGAGCCAAAAGGGATGATGTTTTATTTTAGGAGATAACGTTTGCTAGCTGTAGCATGCCACCTCCCCTTTTTCTTGTTTCTCCTGCCAGCAAAGACAGAGAAAGAGGG